AGCAATAAAACCAAAAACTTGTCCTTTGAAAGATCAACCAGACTGACAACCTTTAGTTACTTTGATCAAGAAGAGAAGGAAAAAACATTCAGATTACAGATTCAGAAGTGAAAGAGGGAACATCATATTACTGACCTTACAGAAATAAAATTTATAAAATTCTATAATTATTAAGGAAAACTGAATAATTTTGGTTGATCAATTAGATAATTTAGATAGAAGGGGGCAATTTCTAGAAATACTAAAACTATCTAAACTTTCTCAAGATGAAAAGGAAAGTTATAAGCAGGCCTGTAAAAAGTAAAGAAATCAAGTAATCAAAAACCAATCTAAAAACAAAGGCTCAGGACCAGATGGTGTCTCCACTAAAATTTATCAACGCTTTAAAGAGTTAATATCACAAGTTCACAAACTCTTCAAGCAGAAGAAGGAGGAACACTTAACCAACTCATTCTAGGAGGTCAGAGCTACCCTCAAACCAAAACCAGACACAGATATCATTAGAACAAAATATAGAGAACAGTATTTCTTTTTTTTTGAGGACATTATTTTTATGAATGTGGACCCAAGAAACCTCAATGAAATATTAGCCATCTTAATCAAGCAGTGTATAAAAATAACTGTATGCCTGGATCAAGGGGATTTATCACAGGAATACAAGATTTAACATAAAAAATGAATGCAATGTATAAAAGAACAATACTACCTGATAATCTACATAGATGCAGAAAAAACATTTGTCAAAACCCAGCATCCTTTCAGGAAAGCAGACAAACTAGGAAAAAAGGAACTGACCCAGCATCCCTTCAGGAAAGCAAACAAACTAGGAAAAAAGGAACTTTTTCAATTAATAAAAGGCACATATAAAGAACCCAAAATAAACATCATACTTAATGGTGAAAGACCGACAGCGTTCCCCATAAGATGAGGGACAACATAAGTGTGTTCACCATTATTGCTCCAACTCAATATTTATTGGAGGTTCTGATCAAGGCAATTAGGCAAGAACAAGAAATAAATGGCATCCTTATTGGAAGAAAGAAATAAAACTATTTCTATTCACAAATGATATTATTTTGTGTACAGAAAATCTTAAATCCATTTAAAAACCCATAGAACTAATAAATGAGCTCAGCAAGGTTACATATGTATGACATCTAGGTCAATAATCATATTTCTGTGAACTTAAAATAAGTAATCCAAAAATAAAACTAAGAAACACATTCCATTTATGTTAACACCAACAAAGTGAAAAACTCAGGGCTAAAATTAATAAAACTGTGCAAAGCTTATACTGTAAATACTGCAGGAAAGACAGAGTTGAAAGATAATGTAAAAGTGTGAAATAAGCAGAAAGACACTTCATGTTCAGGCTGGTATTTCCTCATAATATTAAAAAGAGACATCATATGCATCAATCAGCCATGCTATCTCTAGGTGAATACTCAAGAGAACATACAAACTTGTACATAAATGTGTAAATCAGCATTATCTGTGGTAACACCAGAGTACCAATCATTAATGAATAACTAAACAAAATATGACATACCCATGGAATGGAATATTACTTTTGTCAGTAGAAAGAATGAAGTTATGATACTTAACTACCACATGGATGAACCTTGAAAATTTCATGCTAAGTGGAAAAAAAAAGCAGATACGAAAGACCACATATTGTATGATTCATTTATATATTATATTCAGAACAGGAGAGTTTATGGAGACAGAAAGTAGGTTAGTGGCCACTAGAAAACTAACACCACTTCAATGTTGGTTCCTTGGACCACTTATCATCCCAGTGGTTAAGAATGTGGCTTCTGACGTCAGATTGCTGTGTTTAAATCCTTCATTAGAGGGATTTTGGATGAGTCATTTAATGTCTCTGAGCCTCATGAACTAGAATTCAATTATGTTAGAAAGAAAAGAATTGGTGTCTCATCATTATTTTTTAAATGCAGATAAATTCAATTTTATAAAGATTTTTGTGTCCAATTTGCAGAGCATACCTCCTCATAGAACTGTGTAATTAAAATGGAGCTTGCACTGAAGTACCCTAAGGTTTCAGTAAGTGGTAACAACTGTTATTGGTACCAAATTAATAATTTGATAAAAGAATAATTTTTAATTGAGAAGACCAAGAAAGGTATGCCAATAGAATTAAACATCTCCCAAATATTGTGATTTGGTGGTTAAATTCTTACTTCTTGGGGGGCTGATTTCTTAGGAGGCTGGGGATGTAGCTCAGTTGGTAGAGTGCTTACCTTGCATGCACAAGGTTCTGGTTCAATCCCACAAAAAACAAAACAAAACAAAACAAAACAGAAAAAAAAAAACCTTACTTCTTAGGTAAAACATTAAAAAAGAAGTGTTAGTGTTTCTAGATTTAGAAGCTAAAAGAATTCTTACTTTTTGTTTGCATTTTCTTTTTCTGATCTTGGACTTGATCTTTCTAGCTCATTTGCTGTCCAAGTAAAAGGAAGACTTAAAAAAAAAAAAAACTGAGAAGGCTTTTAGCATTTGGAAAGTCAATATACACCTGAACTTTAATATCTTTTCCAAATAAGCTTTTTTTCCTTCCATCTTTTGAGCGAGGAGGCAATGTGTATAGACCAAAGCTCAGGGATCTTGTCTGTGGAGGACCTGTAATTTTAGACCAAAGAGCACCTCACCTTTCAGAAGAGTAACTCCTCAAAATACTCAGTACCTATTTCCAGTGTCACAAAGATAACCAATTTCTTAAAGTAGGGACACATTTATTACCAAACTGTAATAAATGCCAATAAAGCCTAATTCAATTTTCAAATTCAAATTAGTCTTTGTTTCTAGGCATTTTTATTGGGAAGAGATGGGAAATGAGTCTTCAAGAAAAGAAAAGTACTTTATAAGTTCCCACTGATATCACAATTCAATTTCAAGATTATGGAGTTTTTATTTAAACCTATTGATCTTCTATCTATATTGATTTTATTCCCTGCCGAAAATCCAAATTTTCCCTGACACCAGCATAATTGCATATTTGCTTTAAACCAAAATACATAGGCAACGGTCTCAAAATCACATTGTGGTTCCTGGAAATAGTTTAAGGTATCATTGCTGGTTTCAACACTTACAGATTCAAAGTATGATTTTTTAGAATTCACTTGGAAAAGTTCCTTCCTGTGGGGCTATGCCAATAACTCATTAAATGGCTAAAGTTCATTTGTATCACTTTCTTTCCCATTTAAAGGCGACATAAAAATGGTTTCATAATTATGTAAATATGTGCATTGTTCTAAACTTAAATGATCAAAATAGTGTATAAAAACAATTATATTCAGAGAATTCTACTCTTAAACTACTCTAATCTACACACTCCTATTTCTCAGTAAACTTTAAAAAATTGTGACTTATACACCCATTTATATAAATCATTTTTATGAATGTTAACACATTATAAGTAGTTGTACTACCTTGAGATTGATGCCTAACAGTGTATTAAGATATTTTACATTATTTTTCATAGTGATGTGTTACTCTCTTATTTAGATGCACTATAATAATCAACCAGCCATCTATTGATGAATATTTTTATTGGAAGCCTTTTTTTTTCATTTAGAAATTACATTGCAATGAACAGTCCTGCATATATATATATATATATATATATATATATATATATATATATATTTGTGCACTTACCAATGTGCCTTTGAAATAGAATCCTAATGAGATTGTTGGGTTGAATGGTAAATGCACATTTAATTTGGCTAGATGTTTGTCTGATTTTACTTCAAATTTATGCACTTCTAAAGCAATGCAATGAAGTACCTATTTCCTCACAGATTTGTCAAAAAATATTCTGATTCTATTTCTTTTCTTTCTTCTTCCCCCCCCCCCTAGTTTTGGAAATTGAACTCACAGCCTTATGAATGCTAAGCACACACTCTACAACTGAGTTCTATCCTCAGCCCTTTCTTGCCTTTTTAACATGATTTTAGGTACATTGCTTCTTAATTTTTAGAGGAGTTTCATGTATTGTCTTTTTAGCCATCTGTAGTCTATGTAGCTAGTATTTTTCCATTTCATCATTCATCTTCTTAAAACTCTGTATTTTGTCATGCAAAAGTTGTGTGTGTGTGTGTGTGTGTGTGTGTGTGCGCGCACGCGTGCACAATATAATCAAACTCATATTCCCTGAATTTTAAGTATAGTTAAGAATGTTTTTCTTGCAACCCAGGTATAAGAAAACTCACCTGTGTATATTTTTTGTAAGATGTATGGCTTTACATTAAACATGCAACTCCCTGACTCATTTAGAAGTCATCAAGAAAGTCCCCAAAATTTATCAAGCATGAGCAAATGGAGGCTGGTTCCAGTGTACCAGTTGCTACTGTGAAGCATGCCATTGATATGAGAACCATGTGTCCTCATTTGTTACTTTGTATCTTCTTAGTTACAATGGTGTGTGTATCATCATCAGTAAAATTCCTGGTGTCTCAAATATTCCAAATCAACCTTTTTTTAAAAAAAACAATATTTTTTAGTGGTAGATGGACACAAGACCTTTATTTACTTATTTATGTGCTACTGAGGATCTAACCCAGTGCCCTCCACACGCTAGGCAAGTGCCCTGTCACTGAGCCACAACCCCAGCCCAATCAAAAGCCTCTTTGAACATTAAGGAAATGTTTCATCATTCTTGATGAATAGTACAGGATAGCATTGGGGGCAGAACGTATTACTATTTGAAAAAAAATTGCTTTTTCTCTAATCAGATTTGTTTTGTTTTTAGCATAAAACAACAATGGTTCAATTGTGGAACAGTGCTCTCAGGAATATCAACAAAATAGTGAATTTTCTGTGTAGGGAAATAATCATTATGTCTTTTTCAATGGTTTTGTTTTTACCAGATTGGCAGTGACTATGGCTTATAACGATATATCCATTTTCTTCTTTCAGGTTTAGAAAATTGATGACCCCCCCAAAGGACACACACAATATAAAATACAGTAAAGACTCACCACTACTGGAAGCATCGTTCAGGTTTAGCAGTCCTCCTCCTAGCCCTCTGTAACTATGGTAACTGTAGGTCCCATTTCCATTGATGTATAAGACCTCCTGTGAGCCCGGAACTGTTGACGTTGAATAGGTGGCCTGGGCTGCCTCTGGTTTACACTGTTTGTCCCCTGGAGCAGACTCGTCCTGCAATGACACACCACACTTCGTTATTTATCAAGTCATCACACTATTTCATCTTGATTGGGACTGTCTAAATGTCACCTACATAGCTTTACACAGTGAATATTAAGTAAGTTCATAGGCACAGTTTCCACAATTTTGCTAAAACCTAAAAAAAAGAGAGCAAAGAAACTAGGTGGGCACATTAGAGATGGAGCAATTAACAATTTCCAGCTGAATTTAAAATCACACCTAGAGAGTCATTCACAATAGTCAAGAAGTGGAAACAGTCTATATGACCCCTGGCAAGCGAATGGATAGAGAAGACATGGCATATACTTACAACGGAATATTATTCAGCCTGTAAAAAGAAGGAGACCCTGTTCATTTACAACAAAATAGATGAAACTTAGGGACATTATGCTGAGTGAAATAAGCCTGTTACAAAAAAGCAAATGTTGCATGAGTCTATTTATCTTATATATCTAATGTATTCAAACTCACAGAAACGTAAAGAAGAATGGTGGTTTCCAGGTGTCAAGGAAAGAGAGAGGGGAGAATCAGTCTGTAGTTGTACAGTTTCAGTCATGTAGGGGCAGTGCAGGGATGGTCCTGGAGCTCTGTTGTACCAAGGGTATGTGGTTGACAGTATTGTACTGGGTACTTAGAAACTCCTGAGAGGGTGAATTTTATGTCAAAAAATAAAATTAAGAGAGAATGAGCTAGGCTTAAAAATTATCACGTGAAGAGAAATTATAATAAAAGGAAAAGAAACATTTGACAAAAATTTGAGTTCCTCAAAATCTTTTTCTGCAGGCCTTCTTCCCTGTCTCCCTCACCTTCCTTCTTCTCTCCTCCTTTCTCTTTATATTTCATGGTAAGAAAACTAAATAAGCAAAATGGAGTATCAACTCTAAGCTAAGCCTGTTACATGCATCACCMCAGCACGACAACAAGGACCTTAATAAACAAATGGGCCTTTCAGCTTTTTTTGGCTTTTGTTTTTTGTTCTTAAAATACACTTAAGTTCACAAAATTTGCTTCAAACTCTACAACCAGGTCAAGCTGTGAGGAAATAAAAATTCAGATTTCTAATAAATTATATGAAATTTGTTTTAAAACTCAGCATGAGTTTATAAAGCCTAAAATATATACAATATATTTAATTTGTCTAGTCTTCTGTATTACTTATCTTCTTTCTTTTTTAAACAGGAAATAATTATAAACAGATTTCTAGCGAGTCCTTGGGCATGCCTTTATCATCATCAGAAGCGTTTTGCAGGTCTTCAGTTTAGATTACAATGAACATTTAGTTGAACAAGGAACTTTCAAATCGTTTTGTGGATCCAAGCGATAGAAAAGAGGAAGGATGGAATGAGTCTGCTCCATGGACTCAGGAGTGTTTTTATATGGAGAGATCCTTTACCATCATGAAAACATCGCTATGTCAGCAGTTAATTTTGCTCTTGGTCTCTGCTGCGTTCAACTACATCCAATGTTTGACACTGACCATCATGTTCAGCCAGAGATATCTGACAGAAGGCCTATAGATTTTAACTTTTCATTTATAGAAAGATTAGGGAAGCAAAGAATAGCATTCAAAATTTAAAAAACATATATATATTTGGAACTTGACTTCCCAATCTAAATAATGGAGCCAGAAACAGCAACATTTTTCAAAGTAAATTGAAGTGAAAATAAGAGAAAATGGGAAGGAAATCACTACATAGCATAAACAAATATAAAAAAGGGAATTTTTATGTAGATTTATTTGCCACGTATTGCCTTTTAAAATGCAATAAATAATGATGCATCTGAGATTTAAGTAGTACAAATACGATCAGAATTAAATTGATGTATAATCTAGAAAGTCTGATTGTAATTTAAAATATTGCTATTTGAACCTTAGAAAACCCTAGGAGGGTTAATTACCTTAGAATAGCACTTTCCCTGAGAGAAACTGTCTTAAAGAGGGGACCTAGACAGAATCAAATTTCTGGTATTGCTGGCCCTACCTACTTTGAATGGGAAGTTAGTAATTTCCAGATTATTATTTTTAATTCTGACAGCTACTCTTTGTCAGCAAAAAGTACTCAAAGAAGGAGAATTTTGGATTGTGGTTCTCTATAGACTTCTAGACATATTTGTATTTGACAAATAAGTGAACAATGTAAAATTGTTTTCTTTTGTAGTCAAGGTGAATTTGTATATTATACATAGTAAAGAAACTTCAATAATCTACAACATTATTTACAGAAATCAGTTGTTGGAAGTGTGTGTCATAATAAGCAGGCCTGAGGTCAATAATCATACTAACTACGGGGCTACTCTAAATGAGAATTATTAACAAAGTCAGTAATATTAGTGGCACAGAAACATGGTAATTATTACAGTCTAGAACCAACTATTTTTAAATGGCATGTTATAGAGACCAGGTGAATGAAAAAACAGTTCAACCAATGATGACTACATCTCATACACAATCCATCAGCCCTTCATAAGGGTCCAATGAAATGGTCTACTATCTAGGAGTGCCATCTTCTCTGCCTGGGGACAGAGATACACATATGTATATATTATACATATGATAGTACTAATATTACATAGGCATGTAATACATAAATATGTATAATACATGTATATGTATATGTAAATAAAAATCTAAAATAAAAAATGCTCTGATATCTAAAAATTTTTGCCTGTAAGACACTCAAAAATTTTTGAATTTGGAACGCTGCAGAGTTTAGATTGTTAATATGGGATTGCTCACATAATATTCTATGGAAATGTTCCAAAGTCCAAAAAGCTATAAATGTCCAACATACTCCTTATCCCAGTCATTCCAGAGAAGGGATACTCAACTTGTACACCCACCTATTCCTCCACAGTGGAATAGACATGTCATATAATCGTTGAGTTTCAGATTATTAAAATGGCACCACTTCCAAAAGATTAAAAGATAAACCTGTGATGTTTACATGGTGCTATTGTTTGGTTGTTGGATGTTCCCCAAAGGTCCAGTGTTGAAGGCTTGGTCTCCAGGGTAAGGCTACTGCTGGGAGGTGGTGGAATCCTTGGGGGAGTTCTTTAGGCTCTGAGAATATGCTTTCAAATGAGATTGTGAGACCCAACTCTTCCTCTCCTTTACTTCCTGCTTCAAGATGTAAGTGGTTTTGCTCACCTATGAGCTCCCAGTCATTGACATCTGGCACCTCCACCAGAGGCTCAAAGCAATGAAGCCACCTGTTCTTGGTGGTAAAATCTCTAAATCCCTGGGCTAGATAAGACTTTTCTCTTATAAGTTAATTGTCTCAGGTATTTTGTTATAGAAACACTGAACTATTTAATATACATAAATGAATCTTTTTTTATCATGTGTATAATTCTATTTCCTACTAAATAGTCATGTTTAAGCTGATCTCCATGGAACTGTGAGGTTGTTTTCCTGAGATTATGAGTATAGACATACAGAAAAGGTTGCATACTGCATCCTTCCTTGTTTATCATTCTAGTGGCTTTGCTTTACTCTACTTTACACTTGTAAAAAATCACTGCATCCAAAGCTTTGTGAAAACTACTGGGCCATAAAATATTCTTCCTGTGAAAACACACAGCTATTGAAATTCTGAAAAAGGAAAAATGTTCTATACTTTTTAAAAGCAATTTTGGGGTCCTTGGGAAGGGACTTGCCTCAAACAGCTCCACCACTTAAATACTGAAAATGACTGGGGAAACATGATAAAATTTGAATTTCTACTTTTAGGAAAAATAATGACTCTTATGAAACATACCAATCTATTTCTCTCTGTTTGAAAATGACAATAAAGTATCCTCACAGAAGAGCTTCTTCTCACTGATGAGTAAAATGGGAGAAGGAGCAAGCATTGTCACTTTGGTATTTTTTCATTCTTTTTTAGAAAGAATTAATTTGCAGTATTAGATGTGGTTTTTAAGATTTGCCTCAGCCTTTCATTATTAAACTGTTATTCCAAACCACAGTAACCACTTAGCAGGCAGATAATTAATTCTATTAACAAATAAAACAGACTCTGTAGGAATTATTTGTATCCAAACACAGATTTATGTTATTCATGTTTTTGGCAGTTCATTATATATTGAGAAATACAATATTGGAAACTTCCAGTAGAATCTGCTCTGTAGGAGCTGGATGTGGTGGCATGCTCCTATAATCCTAAAGAGTCAAGAGGCTGAGAAGGATGATTTGCAAGTTTGAGGCCAACCTGGGCAACATAGAATGAGAGTCTAATAATAATAATAATAACCATTATTGTTGTTGTTATTATTATTGTCTATAGGGTCCTTGGGGCAAAAGTTTAGTATAAAGTTAATTTGTGTTTTACCTTGAATGACTATGAGAATTGGTTTCAAAGAATGATTTTTTTAACCCCAAAAATAAACACCCTCTAGAGTCACATTTTACCTCTCCAGCAACTTAAAATCATTAGTTCCCCAAGTTTTCACAGCTAAGAGTTGACCTCCTAGGTGGCAATGAGGATTGTTTTCAAAACAATTGGTTTCATAACTAATATAAGACTTTATATCTACGCAATGAAATAAATTTAATCCATCAACAAAATAAATTAACAAATTCCTCGCTAAGTTTTCATAGAAAACATAAGCCCTGCCCCAGCTATACACCTTTGTATTCTACGGTTAGGAACTGGACAAAGAAAAGTCTGGACTTCCCAAACTTGGTCTGTTACATGGATGAGGCACACAGATTGAATTCCTAACTTACTGCAGACCAGACCCCTAAAGAATCCTTTACTATAGAATCCTTTACTATAGTATATGTTTTTTTCTTTTTTTTTTCAAAATGGAAGTTGATTATGCTTAACTTTTTTTTTTTTTTTTTTTGGTGGTGCTGGGGATCAAACCTAGGGCTTTGTGCATGTGAAGCAAGCACCCTACCAACTGAGCTATAGCCCCAACTCAATGCTTAACTTTTTGATAATAAGTTTCCCTAAAATGTCATGGACAATGTTACATTACCTTTACTATAT